AGAGAGAGAGAGAGAGAGAGAGAGAGAGAGAGAGAGAGAGAGAGGCAATGATGTCCAGGTGTGCCTGTACCACAGCACACACATGGAGATGTCAGTTCTTGCTTTCTGCCTTGTTTGAGACGGGGTAGCTAGCTGGACTGTGAGCCTCTGGGGATTCTCCTGTCTCCTCCTCCCATCCTGTTGCAGAGGCATTGGGACTGTAAACTTGTGGTACCATGCTTGGCTTTTACATGGTTTCTGGAGATTTGAACTCAGGTCTTCACATTTACACAGCAAGTGCTTTACCCACAAAGCCATCTTTCTAGACCCCTGTTATTATCCCTTTTGTTAGTAGGTATTCAATTTTGGAAGCCTCTTTTCCTTTATTTGAAAAGTGAGGATATCTATAACAGAACTTTCTAATTTATTGAGCAATTATGAAAATAAAATGAGGTACTAGATATGCAAGTGTTTTGAGGAAATTAAAAATGCTCATAAGCACATAGCATGTTCTCCTTATTGCATTTATAAGAAGTGATAATTATGAAAAGAAAAACTTGGCAGTCCTGAACATTTATCCTTATCTGGAATTAATGCACATACACTGGGGAAAATAGCTTGGCACTGATTTAAGTAACAGCCTAAATTTTACTATTTTAAGTAGTTTCCTATACAGCTCTTATACATCGTGAATATGCTGGTCTGTTCATAACCATAATTTTATTTAAAAACAGAACTAGGAGGATATGGTATCTATTCTCAGAAATATAAAGACAAAGTCTTACCCTTCTGCAAACTAAATGTCAAGTGACACAGAATTATATTTAAGCACCATTCTAAATGCAGGATTTGTGTCTAATCTTTCCTCTTTCTTTGGGATGCACAGTTTTATTCAAAAGCTTCAAACCAGTGAAACCCAGATACTAAATACCTTTTAAATGAACTGAACCTCCTGAGGGAAATGAGAACAAAAGTCATATTCTATTAAAATGTTCCCTTCCTTTCTAAAAGCTGTTTATGCAGTTACATGGAAAACAAAAATTTGAATGGTATTATCTAAAAATAAAAGTTTCAAGCATGATGGTGGGGTCTAATTTACAAGGAAAAGTTAAATCAACCATAAATGCTAATTTATTTTACAAATGCATTTTTCTAGACTTATGCTAAATATTTTAAAGATAGCTGACGGCATGCTTCAAGAAGAGAAACAAATTATACATATAACAAGGAATAAAAGCATCTTGGAAATAAAACTCAAACAGCAGAGACAGCCCTAAAGCTCTTAAAATAGCTTAAAGAGACTTGGTGGGGGAACCTACTTCATCAGATAGCTAACGAATAGAGACCAGTTTATCCAGGGAGGTTCTATACCCAAAATTAAATATTCAAAGTAAACTAAAGCTCTAGCCAGGGCTCCTCTTCCCCCTGGATTAACTGTTATGCCTTTGCTGAGTTTGAGTTGTCTGTGCATTGCTTTTCTTTAAGGCTATAGTACGGATTTTGAATCTCTCCATGTGTTAAAGGAGTGGCCACCAGCTTGTGGCACTGTGGGGTGCATTGGAACATTCAGGAAGTAGCACTCAGGAGAAAGAATTAGGTCCTTGATGGTGCATCCTTAAAGGGATGTCGGGACACTGGTCTCTTCCTCTGTCTCTGCCTCCTGGTTGCCCTGAGGCAAATGGGTTCCTTCCCCATATGCTTCTGCAGCCACTCTAAAGGCAACTCACCACAGACCGAGACCTCTGAAAATGGGTCAGAAATAAACTTTCCCTCCCAGTTATCTCAGGTATTTTTGTCATAGCAATGGAAAACTGAATAAAGCACACGAACAATAAATCCAGCTGCTAAGAAAGGTCTGTAGTAAATGGCAGGTTTTCAAGATGTTTGTATTCTATTCTCTAAGTCAACAAGATGCCCTTTTATTCATGATTTCTACAAGCAGGCTTTTTTAAGAAATGACATTTCTGAGGTGGAGAGATGGCTCAGCAGTTAAGAATACTGGCTGCTCTTGCGGAGGACCCAGGTTTGATTCCCAACATCCACGTGGTGGCTAATAACCACCCATAACTACAGTTCCAGAGGAATCCAGTACCCTCTTCTGACCTCTGCAGGCATTGCATGACATGGGTGCACTTGTATATGTGCAGGCAATACACCATACACATAAGATAAAAATAATAAATAAAATATTTTAAAAAGAAATAGCATTTCTTCCTTTCCAGAATTTATCTTTCTTGCTTTTCTCTCATAAATTAACCACTAACCAAGACCCTTACCTCATGCTTGTCAGGAGCAATAAAATTCAGTTGGCAATTTGAGTCATACAAGATGGAGAAAGCAAGTTCAAGCACTTCCTACAAGAGATTAGAGAAAACACCACATTAAATCAAACTGGCATTATTTTTTGACATTACAAATGGTTGAGGTTGCACATGGGGTGTGGTCTGTCCCTTGGCCCAGAGAAGAGGAGCAATGATGAGGCTGGTGTGAGAAAAGGGTGTGTGTTTCAAGATTCCCAGAATGCCCTTCTCTCCATTCAGCACAGGCCTGCATGAACCATCTCATTTCTCATGGAAACCCATGAAGCAAGTGTTGTCATTGCCTTTTTAGGAGACAGGTTTGGAGAGGGTTCATAGCATATGACCAAAGCCGTTCATCTCCCTTCCAGGAAGATATGGGAACAGTAAACTCTCTCCTAATTAGCAGCATAAGCTCATCTACCTTAACATCCCCAACAGACAGAAGTCCATAACAGTATGGACTCAGTAGAGGTAATGAGATTCAGAGTGACCCCCCCCCATATTTTGATGTCAATCTTTGGAGTTTTGCACTCTAGTAAGCAAAGGATACACAAAACCCATATTTTACCCACTAGAGGCTGTAGGATATAAAGGAGCATGGACTCAAGTGACAAATGATGCAGACTTAAGTCACTGGTGATCATCTACTGAGCACAGACTGAGTCAGATCCACAGTACCAAAGATTAGGTGTCCCTTTCATTTTATTGTAGCTAGATAAATTTGGTTGAGGTACTCAGTGTCATGTCTGATGCATATGTTACAAAACCTTTCTCGAAGTGTATGTGTTGTACCAATATTGGGTACCACAATCACTCTACCAGTCTGAGCAGTCAGCAGAGTGGAGCTGCTGGAAGGTGACAGTTACCAGCACATCCTAGAACCTCACCGGTGCCTAATCTGGAGGGGAAAGGTCAAGTGTATCCATACCAGCATTCTGTATTGTCATAACACAGGCTGTAGTGTACTTTCCTTCTCTGTGTCTTTATTAGGCACCACTGGTGACTGTCCCTCTGCCCTGTTATGATCTGGGAGCAGCACTGCTTAGAAACGTCCCATGAAACGTTTTTCTCTTAGGGACCCACATCTGTGCACATCCTTTCCTACTTTGATAGCTGTCAGAGGATTTGCCTTTGGTATGTGACTAACAGCTCAAATACTGCAGAAAGAAGGTGGAAGGTAAAAAGATGAAGTCAGTCCTCCAAGATTTCAGATGAATTAAAAAATTCTTCCAAAGTGGACCCTGAAGACCCTATGTTAGCCGGACCCTCTCCTAACCCAGACCCTGTCAAGCTATTCCGGCTCTTATAGAATTCTCTGTCTGGCTCCCCTCCTGGATCTGTCCTCTCACTACGAGGGAGCAGTTTTGCTCTGAGGCTAGATTGTCACGTATCTCACACTCAAACGGGCTCCTCATTCTGCTAGAAATAGAAACCCTGGCAGGAGAAAATGCCGAGTCATGGAACGGGAGCTGGCCTGCATAAACTCCTCTGCTCCTCAGTTTTTTCTTCATCAGCCCTCATTTCAGCCTGTCCAGTGACGGTGACATGAACAAAGAAGCAAACACATTTTTTTTTTCCGTTGAGTTTGGCATCTGCTTCTATAACAATACCTCTGAGACCTTTTAATTTATATTCAAAATGACAATAGTCATGCTAGTGGCACCATAAATTAGTATCATCTTTTAAAAAAATCAATAAAGTCATACATATCACATGGATCCCGCTCCTGTGGCTATTAAAAAAATCCAATATCAAGTGAAAATTGCATACTATCTGTAAGAAAATTATGAGAAACTAAGTCTCTCCCTTTCTTTTGGGTATTAGGGAAATCACAAATAATAAGCTAATTATGAAGGTCTGATGTTAAATGAAAAAAACCAAAAAGCAGGAGAAATGTACCTACTGTGACAGTGCCTGCCTGTAGATGGAGAAGGTTAGTGAGCATATGAAAAGAAAATTACTATCAAGTGCTGGGATCATGGGTCATTATTTCTTCTCAAAGTATGTTTCCAGTAAAATTTAGGCTATAATCTCATAAACTCACAAACAACTGCTTTCCGATTAGAAATGTTACATAGACGACTTGTCTTTGTTGATTTGAGAGTCATTCATTAGGAAGATGCTGACTCATACTTCAGAGACTGGAGGGATAGGAGAGATGGCTTTGCTTTGGAACTCCCTTTGCAGATTCACAGGGTAAGGTGAAATTCACCAAGGTCTTTCTGCCTAACCCTGTGCAACAACTGTGACAGCAGCTGGTATGACTGGAGCCCAGACATCTGCCCTTGACTAGGTGCTGAAGTCACTGGGCATCAGAATGCCAGCACAATTAGTGCTGAGACATTTTCTTTTCTGCAGAGGGACAGTGAAGGTGCACGCTCACCTTGGGCTTTGCCTTTCTTTGGCACATACTGCTCCATAACATGAAGGATAGGAGCTGTCATGACCTAGATTCCTGATAAACATGGGCAGGAACGGGAAATTGGTGAGAATGTCAATCCCCACTCTAATTTCACCAAGGCTGCCTGGGAGGGGTGGGAGGAATTAATTCTCTGAACTGCACGCCTGCATTAAAGGGGAGCTATCATTTTAATGGCTTTTATTGACATCCCTGTCTTGCTGTCACTAACTCACTGGTAGAGGTGGCTCTGCAGCCCTTCAGGGAAGGAGACTGTAGAGCTCAGAGCCATGGGACCTCTCAGGCCAACTCTCCAGAAGCTGCCACCTGTCCAAACTGCCTGTGAGGATGACAGGCTCCAGGTGGCGGCAGAACAGGCTGGCACAGATCTGGGACAGTGTGCCCCTCAGGGCCTCCTGACACACAGCACAGCACTCAGACACCCAACACTTCAGGGCTGTATTGCTCACTACTGAAGGTCTTCCAGTCTTTCGTGAATGAATTCAGTGAAAAACTAGACTCCAGAGCAGCTTATTTTACCCTGTTGTGCTGAGACACCCCTGCCTTCTCGCCCTGTGCAGGAAGGCTCTGGATGGGCCAAGTTGTGGGGAGAGAGGAGACAGGAGAAGCCGAATTCTCCTCCATCCCCTGAGGTCTCTGACCTCATGATCTCGGTCTCAATCCTCTGACTCTAGGACCAGCAGCAACACATGCTGAATCAGAAGACACTCAGAAACAGTGCCTCGGCTTGGAAGGCATTTGAATATGTATTCTACTGTGGGTAAATGACAATATAAGAATAGAGTAGTACAAAGCATACTTCATCATACAGCACGATGCCATTTTTCACATTGTATTGCGTAACTTATACTGACTTCTTTCCCAGCATTCACTTAACCATGCTGATTCTCCATCTATCCAGTTATCTTAGGGATGAAGCATTTTGATGAAAGACATAGGATGCAGTTTGGCATATGTGTGACTTCTATTACCACAGATAGAGTAGAAGATCTGATAGCCACTCATCTACATACCTATGAACCCATAAGAAGATGTCAATCATTCGTGAAGCTCACCAAAGATATCACCCTCTTCACCTTCTTCAGGAAGGTAAACCTTTCACACTTTTCTGGCTCCGATTTCTCTTACCAGCATTACTGACCGATAGCTCTTTAACTGTCTTTTTTCACTGTCCCTGTCTATCCCACTCTGGGCACTCACTCTTCCCCAGGCAGAGATGCTCTTTCTCAAGAGGAAAGGTACTGAGCCTCTTCCCATGCTGCTCCCTCCACCTGGAAAGTCTTCCCTTGCTTCTCCAGCTGGTGGAAGCCTTTTCAAAACCCAGCTCAGGTGGAGCCATCTCCTCTTTGGGCTGTTCTTGGCTTTGCCTGGTTACCTTTGTGTTTATTTTTGACACAGATGATGGCTTGTAATTTCATGTTTAACATAGATCTTAATTTGCTGAACACCTACAACCAGGGCCCAGACTATATTAATCTTTGGTTTTCTAGCACTTGGCAACAAAGAAGATGAATGATGAACGAAGTAAATCCAAACAAGGTTTTTGGTGAAGGTGAAGCTTTTAAGCTTATGGAAGGACATCAACTGCTAATGGAATCTGCCTCCTGTTTTGGTTCAAGACTCACACTAGCAAGACTGAAACTAGGCTCCGAACATCACAAGATGGTAACTTTTCCGACACAACATGTATCCCTTTCTGAGTTTGTGGGAAACACTGAGGTTTCCCTTTTGGTGATGTACCATGACTGTCTAGCTCTAAGCACCATATCCAGTGAGACAAGCACCAAGAACATCTGACTGAAAGCTCATAGCAACCAATCATTTTACTTTAGAAATTACAGAGCATGAATTTTAAGGAACCCTTATTCTTTAAGAACCAAGTCTTACAATTGAATTTGTATCCACTGATGATAATTCAAAAGTCAATCAAACACTTCCTATACTGTGAAGAACTCTATACTTAGGGCTAGAGAGCTGGCTCTGCTCTTGCAGAGGACCCAAGTTCAATTCCCAGCACCCATACTGGGTAATTCACAACTACTTGTAACTCTAGCTCTAGGGGATCTGACGCCCTCTTCTGGTTTCTGTGGGTACCTACACATATGTGATGCATACAAACTCATATAGAAGCACATAAACAAAGTAAATCAATAAATAAATCTTTAAAGAACTTTTATTCCTTGTCTCCACAGAACTTTTCCTGTTGTACATACCTCCGTTAAACATATTAGACCCTAAGCTCCAGGAGGATGGCCCAGTCTACCCTGGTCCCATTCTATGCCAGGTACTTTAGATCTCTGTAGTTCCAGTGCTGACAGACTGAATATGTGAGAGTTGTGCAGCAGACTCCTCAAGGGAAGGACCAATTCCCTTTTGTAATTCTAGCCCATGGTCTTAGAACTTAGCACCAGCAGATGTTAAATGGGTGACAAGACTGTTAGTAAAGTGTCTTCTTTATAAATACTATTATCTAAGTTGAGCTTGCATAGCAATTAAGCTCATCAACAGTCTTGCCACACAAAACATCAGAAACAACCCCCTTCTGTGAAGTGTCTGAAGAGCCAGTACCATCAGTACCATGCCTTGGCTATTGGCTACCAGGCTTGGATGAGCCTCTTGTGGGTACATTTTTGTT